GATTGATTGATTGATTGATTGGTGGGGAAGGGGTCGCCCTTCCCCACCAATCAAGCACACACACACACACACACACACACGAAAAATTAAAATTTTCTTTTTTTATTACGTTTTTTTTAATTGAAATACGTAATTTTTTGTTTTCTATTTTTTTCAAATAAGAAAACACTTGTAAAATAAAAACAAAAATCACCGCGTTGTAGGTCTCTTTAAACCCTACAACCCCTTTTTTTTTTTGTTAAATGTTTGAAATTCTCGACTGCATTCACCTCAGGGGCCGACCTCAGCGGTCGGTATCCCGACCGCTGGCTGAGATTGACCCCGCGGTCATGACCTCGGGGGATACATAGCCCGTGCCATCTTTCTTACCCCTCCTTTTTGTATCATATCAACCCCATAGAAACCCCCGTTTCGCTTTCTTGATTTTGGGTGCCGCATTTTTGACCCCCACCTTTCGGCAACCTTTTACGATTCCCTGGTTCGGCTGTTTCCTTTTGCAATTCGGAAAATACTTGGGAATTTACATGCGCCTTAGCGAGCGCACTGGGAATTGGGTCCGGCAGTTGGGATTTCCGGGATAAGCGGGACTTCGACGTGTCTTTTTTGTGTGTGAATGTTCTCGGTCGCGTCGCGAAAAACTCTCGAAATTTTGCAAGGATACAAATAGGCGTAGGACTTTCTTTTCGAGGAAAGCGCGCGGATATAGTGATTTCAATTTTGAATTGGTTTAGGAAGTAGGCGAGCTGTAACTATTTCGGTGCCTTTTTGTTTTGTTTTTTGTTGACGGCGCCACGCATGCAAAAGCTTTCTCCTCTCTGTCCCCCGCATCGCTCTTTCCCACGCTCCTTTTTCCTTCCACCTCCTCCTCCTCTCTCCTCGTAACTGTTTTTCTCCCTCCCTTTCTCTCTCCCACTCAGTTCTTTGCGCGCCCATTTCCCCTTTCTTGATCATCTGAATCTTGGACCCGTCTTGCGCTACTTCTCGCGCCTTATCTTCTCTCCGAGCAAAGCTCGTGAAGTCCGGTCCATCCTTCGATTACTCTCGCCCACCAATCAGACGTGGGGTACGGTAGGATCTGCCTATCACGTGACGAGTCTGATTGGTTAATCTTGAGTCTCGAAGCGTCAACATGGATTCCGCGAAGCGCTCCTCTCAAAGTCTTCTCCTCCTGCTTCTCCTCTTACACTTCGACTCTCCCCCTGCATTCTCCCTCCCTTGGCTCCCTCCTCGCTGCTATAAATTCCGCAAGCGCGCCCTCAAATCTCTCTTAGGTTCTCGACTCTCAAGCCAACTTCCGGGAAGCAGTGGCTAGGCAGAGTGTTTGGTGCGAGTCGGAAAGTCATGTCGGGCTGACGATAGGCTGGCCGGTTGCGCGCTTGATCGCCACGACGGACTGTGGGATCGAGGCGAACCGCGCCGAGTGTTACGTCGGCGGGGTGACGATCGCAGTGGTGGGAGTTAGCACGCGACGGCCGGGATCGTCGGTGCGGGTATGAGGATCGATGATTGAAGTTGAGTGAGTGATTGGCCTGGGCCATGATTGGAATTAACGGCGAATGCGCCTTTGTTGTTGCGGGTCTTTATCTCTGGTGTGAGTATACGGTGGCAACGCCGAACTTTCCTCCTTTTTGGTCTTGTCTCCTTATATCCCCCTCTCTCTCCTCAACCTTTGAATGATGAAGTGTTTCGATGTGTGTCTCTCTCTCTCTCTCTCAAATGGGAATGAGTCTGCATGTTGTTCCCGTGTGAAAGAACTTCCGGAACTCTTCCATTAGTTTCCTGGGTAGTCCCCCTACGCAAGAACCCCGCCTCCTTGTCTTGTGAACGGTAGATGCATGTGTACTATTCAGCGATCCATCTGTGTGCATATCTCATTTTCGCACCATCCACAGTGAATGTATGTATGGAGGTACGTGTCTTTTTTAGTTGATTAGACGATTGTTGTCGGGATTTTGTCCGAGAATGCAAGAGTGTTTAGATCTGTAATTTTGAAGTGCGCTGCGCACGCTATCTGCCTTATACTGCACGACATCTGCACATGATCCCGTTGATGGGTGTTCTCTCTCTCTCTCTCTCTCTCTCTCTCTCTCTCTCTCTCTCTCTCTCTCTCTCTCTCTCT